GAAAATGAGTTCACGAGGAAAATATTTTCCAAAACATTTAAGCCAACCAAACATGGGAAAATTGGAACTTCACACCAAACACACCCAAAATGTAAATGCCAACTTCTAATGTCTACTTAATTATCCAAATCATGGCAATGCATTCACCGCCGACTTGGTTATCAAGGAAGTGTATAGTTACAGTTTTGGCTGATGCTCTCCCTAAACTAACACATCACTTGAAAAAAAAAAAAACCACCAAAGGGACTAAAGAGGGGAGGGCGAAGCAATCAGTAGGTAAACAATACTTCATTCACTCCTTTTTTGTCACTATTACTGTTTTGTCGATCCCTAAAAGACAGCCACCTTTCTATACAAGGAAAGTCATTTTAACATTTGTGATTTTTCCTTAACATACTCTTATAGAAATTAACATGGCACATTGAATACCACTAGATATTAAGGGTACTTTTGGTATGTTATACAAATTTAGCTTATGCATGAAAATGTACTTTTTTTTCCCTCTAAACAACACATCCAGTCAAAACACCACTACATATAGAAATGGACAGCATATGTCAATCCAACACCTAATACCGTGGCACATTGAATACCACTAGATATTAAGGGTACTTTTGGTATGTTATACAAATTTAGCTTATGCATGAAAAAGTACTTTTTTCCTCTAAACAACACATCCAGTCAAAACACCACTACATATAAAAATGGACAGCATATGTCGATCCAACACCTAATACAGTGACCAACGCTTTCTTATCCAATTAGACATCAGAATTGAAGAGCACATGAGCAATGCATAATCAAACAGTATGTTTAACGGCACCAACCTGATATCTTTGATGTCCAAACCCCGCGCAGCAACATCAGTAGCCACAAGCACAGGAGACCTGCCAGTGCGAAACTGGCTTAATACATAATCCCTCTCACCCTGAGATTTATCCCCATGAATTGCGGCTGCTCCAAAATTGCGAGTAAGATTGCGAGATAGTTGGTCGCACATTTTCTTTGTTGAACAGAAAATAATGATTTTTGACCCTGGTTCTTTGGATCTCAAGATTTGTTCTACTCGCCGTTGTTTCTCCATCGGCAGCACGACTTCAATGTACTGCAAGAGACAACTACTTGAATTAATTGTAACCACACCAGGTTCAGCTTTTATGCTTAGGCATATATAATACAGATTCTACTACAATACCTCTTTTTGTTCAGTTATATTCTACTATCATACCTCCCAGCCATCTTCTCCAATAAGGAGAAGTGAAGTACTTAAAGATATTAAATAATGAAAATTGCCCAGGAAAATAATAAAGAAACACACCTGCGTGATAGACTTGTTTGCAACAAGCTCATCAACATTTCCAATATTAACTTGAACTGAATTAACCAATAGATCAGCAGCAATCTTACGAACCCCCTTCGGCCATGTAGCTGTATACATCAGTGTTTGCCTCTGCACAGGCACCTCCTTCACAATCTTCCTTATCTGAGGTTCAAATCCCATGTCCAGCATACGATCCGCTTCATCTAACACCAAGTAAGAAACTTGACCAAGGCTAACTCTTCTCATCTCCAAGATGTCGTTCAAACGACCAGGAGTGGCGACGACAATATCTACACCCCTACTCAGCTCCCGTAGTTGAGGACCTTTTGGTGCACCTCCATACAGACACTAACCGTCAGAACATAAATCATAGTTAGTTTTCAAACAAAATTAAGATCATAATTTTTCAAGTTCATCAACAAACGTATGTAATTGACATTAACATCTTTGCATTTGTCTAATAGCAACTATTCTACTATTCTATATGCAGGTGAGTATGCAGCTGGAATAAGCTGCAAAAAATTTAGAAAATACATGATTCACAGCTCAAAACAGAGAATGCAATATTTAACCTGTGAGTTTTAGATTTCTATAGGGTGGATATACCAGAACCAAAGTCCTCTGAAAAGCATTGTTACATTTGAGTGTTGCAAAAACGCAAGTCATATAGCAAATATTCTAATTATAAAATAGATGCCAGACTAAGCAACAGTACTTCAAAATGATAATAAAGTTCTAGTACTCCCTCCGTTCCACTTTATGAGACACGATTCGGAGGACAAGGGTCAGACTGCCTAACTTTTTGTGGAACTTCAGAAATAGAATCTTCAAGTTTTTCGAAATAAAATTAACATATTTAGAAACTAAATAAAAAGTACTAATAAGTCACAAAAGTTAACAATTCCAAATATTTAAAAAGTCATAAACTATGAGAGAGTAATAGAACCAAAACTATTACACTCACAAGTCAAAAACATCATACCGTGCAGGATATCCTTGACGATTTCCCAAACTTCACTGCTTCAGCTTGTATCTGCGTGGCTAATTCTCTTGTTGGTGATAGTACCAAAATAGTTGGGCCTAATTGAGGATTCTTGCGACGATGTTGTAGATGAACAAAGGCAGGCATCAAGTAACCCAGAGTTTTGCCAGACCCAGTCTTCGCAATAGCCACTATATCACGGCCCTGAAGGGCAATGGGCCAGGATTGTGCCTGTATTGGAGTAGGAGCCGAAAACCCAGCTTGATGCATCTGTAAATGTTGGCAACATCATTCAGCATATATACGAACTCAGAATTTTTTTATTTGACTATCTGAATGGCCAACACAAGAAGAAGCATCATCCCCCTTAAGTAGGCAGCCAACACTTGCTAATACAAACAAGAGCAGGAGGACGCCTCTTCTTCAGTTTGGACCATGTTGGCAGACTGAATCATCACCGACAGCAGCCCCAGCCACGAACATGGATGATTCGGAAAGCCTTCAGAAAATTTGGTCCACCAAATAAGGGTGCTCCACATACATGGAAGCCCCCAAAGGATGGTTGAACAGCGTACGACATTTAGCTCCTCCTTGGAGCAAATATCGCACCTGCGTGAAAGTACAGACCGGAAAATGGATGAGTACTGAAGCTCAACGATGGACCTCCAGCAACCATTGAAATTTAGAAAGAACACACTCGATTATTACTGTAAATTCTTTGATAAGAGGTTCTCCTGAAGGAGCCTTTAAAACACAAATAGAAATGGGTTTATTCATACCTCCCTCACAATCTCTGAAGGAAACCCAGTCGCTTCAAATGATGTCAAAGGTGCAGGAACATCACCTCCCTGTCAAATATGATGCAAACATGAGTATGACTGACAATTTTGTATCAAAGGTTGGGGGTGGGGAGGGAAGAAAAATTAACATGAAAGATGAAGATGAAGCTCTTTTGAAAAGCTAGACTAATACAACTTTCAATTGAACATAGAGAACATAGCCACTTAGAGTTCTGATTTATGCTACAGCAGGTAGAAGACAAATAAAGAACTGGAAAATCACAAGACATAATACCAGACAGAAGAGACTAAACAATTTCATCTTCAAGATGATGGCCCTAAAATAAAAGGCAGTCGAAGTTGCATTTCTTGTGCTTTTCTTGTGTTCTGAGTTACAGAAACCGAATCAAGAAACTATAGACCTTCAATCATCCAAGATGTAGTAGTAAAAAAGATGAAATAATTCAGACATGGTGCAACTGTAGCCAAGTGAAGATAGCTCAATATACAGAAACATGTCATACGAACCCTGCAACATCCTAATGATAATGGAGGAGAATTGCCCTCTAGAATGTGATAAGACAACCTTTTACTTTGTCCAAACCCATACAACTCTCACCAAAAGATAGTAGCAGCTCACACATATGCAATAAGAAAACATTTTGAAACAAAAAGAATTTATAGTGTTGGATGTGGAGCAGAGCATAGTATGGGAAAGGGCACGCGGCGCCAAATTATAGGCAGGGAATCTGTTGTACCAAAGTTTCTGGTTGATCGAGCGAATTTGTCAAGTTTTTCTTTCATATTGCAATATGTCAAGTTTTAGAAATCTGGATGCTATTCTCTGCAATGACACTGCTAGCTCCCTTATTTGCTTTCACATGACTGATCGTTCTCCAGTTCATTCACCTGCTTCTTCTTTTTGAAAATGTAATGAAAAGAACAATAATTTGAAACAATTCATTCACCTGTTTTCATTATGAGCCTTTCGCAATTCATATTCTATGAATTGTCAGCTATCTACCAAAAAGTAGTTGAGCTAGATACTAATGATGATGATAATGATGTTCAACAAGTGACAAATAAACTCTAATCTATGATCCTTCCGTATGATGTAATGTTCAGTCAAATCTTCACATTCAGTGTTGTATTTTTATTTTGTGGTTTATATGATGTAGAAGACTTGCATCTAATATCTATAATGGAGGGGTATTCCTATGCCTTTTGTTTTGATAGTTCTATTGGTGGTGCTTTTCAAAGGTTAACTCACAACTAAAATTTGTATTTACTAACATAAGAATCTCATCTCATCACTAGTCCATATTTAGTATGCTGTCTGACCTTTCAGTGCTATCTCAATAAACATGATAAGAAAAACAAATGCAATTACTATATGTTAAGTAGATTACATTTGAAATTTTCACGAATTCATTCATATTGTTAAATGTGCAAAGTCCAAAATTATTGACTACCTTTCCAGGAAACCACCAAATATATTTTGCAACCCCGGTAGTCCAATAGACAGATGCTAATATGTAAAAATCGAAATGGCTTATTTCACAATTATTGAAATCATAGCAAACACGAATCATCCTCCGAGAGATCAAGTTAACACCCATTTGAGTTTTAAAAGTGAAATTCCAAAAGTGAAAAAGAAATGAAATGGTTCTTCATATAAATCAAGAAGGCACAGTTTCTTATTTTCTTACCGTAACAGAGATTTCATTGCGGCGGCAGTAGGATTCTTGAGATATGTCACTTCCTACACCTAGAGAACCATAGCCTTCATGGACAGATGTTCCATCATGAAAATGATCAGAACTGCTTCTTGCAATCTACCAAATAAATAAAAAGATAAGAAAAAGAAACTTGCACCCAGAGAGATAAATATAAAGAAACAAATCCAGAGAGGGGGGAACCTGACGGGTAAACTCAAATAACATTCGACTACTAAAGTTCAAGTTTCTATAGCAATTTAGTGTTGACCATTACTCATAGATTACTACTTAAGAACAGATTCTTTCTTTTAAATAAAAACCTTCATAACCTCTAGGCAATTCAGCATAAACCATTGCTTATCAGAGTAAGCAAGGGGACAGATCTTTCTTTTCCTTTCAACTAAGAACTGAACCTAATTTTAACCACATGCTAATACTTCTTTGCGCATTTCTCAGCTAAGACTACAAAGAAAATGAAAGAGAAAACTGGTCTCGACAGAGATACAAGGAAAGTGCAAACTAAAAGATATTTCAACCTCTTTTTGAGTTGCCGTAGACCACCTTCTCTTTTTCACAAATTAGAATCCCTTGTACAATATACAGGCTCAAAATCATATGTAATATAATACGATAATTCAATCCCAAAATTCATTATTAACACTTGATACTTAGTTTTTTTGATGATAACATAAATGATAGATTTTAAAGGATCCCACACATAGAAATGACATATCCATTGACAATCTCTCTTTAATCAATGTCAATGATGTCAAATGGATTTAAGAACACGATAATATGAAAATCCCAAAAAAAAATAGAAACCAACAAAATAGTTAAACATATTCGATTTGTCGTATCTATGTCCAAACTGAATACAGAAAAAAAAGATGTTCTTTTAGAAAAAGGGGAATGGGAGAGAGAGAGAGAGAGAGAGAGAGAGAGAGATGGAGAAGGAAGGAACTAAACTGACAGAGATACATTAAAACTAGATAACTGATCTCCCTTCACACATGATACCTTGTTATTGCTACCTCTGTTGTGTCCACCATCTGGATCATAGCGTTGACCTTGAGAAGGCTTTTCAACAGATGAACTTACAAATACAGATGACTTATGTGCTGGAGCAGACACTGCATGGGAAGAGGGAACAGGCCTCTCATATTGGGTATCGTTGGTCTCTGGATTCCAGAAGTAGATGAATCCAGTCGTACCATCAACTAGGCCTTTCCAAGGTTTGGGGAGGGTAGGGTCTTCTGGTGCATAACTTGGACCAGCGGAAGATGCAGTTACAACAGCCATCTCAAACTTCAGTCTCCAATGACCACTGGATTTATATAACATCAGCGTGCAAAAATTATGAAATGTAAATTTGGAGAGAAATGAGCAACCATGCTGAAAAAAAGGACTACAAAAAAGCTTCTTCCTTTTATGCTGTATCACCATTGACCATCCACAACTTAGAAAAAAGGTGGTGGTAGTAGTAGTTATCTAAGTCAAGGCAAAGCAAGCATGCTACAGCCAAACAAAATGTCAATTAAAGAGATGCCTAGTTGAACAAAATAGTATCCAACAGTAGATGACTCAATCACTTCAATAGTTGTAGACACAGATCACAGCTACAACTTGGTATAAATTTAAACAAAAAAACTCTTGGACAGGAGGACAGCTATATATCATCGTGAGATGCACTAAAGAGCCAAAATAGTTTCTTCCTAACCTTTTAAGGCTTATGGATGTGTTTGATATGAAGGAAAATGTCATCTTTTTTTTTTGAAAAAGGTAACAAAATGTTATCTTGGAGAATAAATAATTTTCTTACTTATTTTCTGGTATTTGGGGGTGGGGGAGACACTCACGTGTAATGCCACTTATAGAACTTGTTTTCCCTACTCCCACTTATAGAACTTGTTTTCCCTACTCCCACTAGGTAAGTGGCCATTTTACTAATTTTTAAGGAACTTGTTTTCCTAGGAAAAATGTGTTCCAGAATATTTTGACCAACCAAACATGGAAATTGAAAATTCTTCCACACCAAACACATCCCTCTTTTTATCACAACGGTGTCCAAGCCAGCTTGCGTGCACCTCGACTATTCTACCGGGTACTTGCTACCACCCACCAGCACAAGTACTGGGTGTTCTAAAGCTTGGGCAAGCTCTCCACCCCACTTCAATGACCACTGGGCCACCCAGGCCACCCATGGGTGCACCTAACACAGCCTATATCACTTCTTTTTTTTCTTTTTCCTTTTCTCTTATGCTAATAGGAAAACTGCTCCAGTAACCTCCTGAACTACCACAATCATGAACTATCATTCAATAACTATCTCTCAATCCTACATCAATCACTGTTTGCATATACATGTCATCTAAAAAAACAAAAACAAAAAACATAGTATTAGTATTAAAACTAAGCTGGTCCAAGCTAGCCTTTTCCAGTCAGAAGGAGAAAAACACATATGTAGGTCTAGAATCACACGCAGGAAAACTAATTCAAAAGGTCTGCAATCGCCTGGAGCAGTAACCATTAACCCTAAATGACAGCTCAAAAGGCACAAATTTGAGGTCAAACAATCAACCAAAAAGAAAGAAAAGCTGATCAACCCTAGATTATCATTTGATAACACATAACAGCGATTGAATGAAAAAAAAATCATATAGTTAATCCAGATCTGAAGTATTACATTAAACAAATCAGAAATTGATAGAGAATAATACCTGACGATGTCGATCTGATAGCAAAAAAACTTAAACTAAATAGGAAAAAATAAGTGGACACAAATTATTTCCACCTCCAAGGATTTCTCCCTTTTTCTCTAGGGTTACAAGACCTAGAAAGAGAGAAATACGCTTCCAAAAAAATGAGAAGCGTGAGGAGATAAAAAGAAGTTGAAAATATCTGATAGATGGGATATTTATAGAGAACCGATAGTGAAACCCAAAACGCTTTGCTCTTTGCCCAAAATTCTACATCGGTGTCGGCCACATGTTTTTGGGCCAGGGGCCCACCTGGCTCCTGCTTGTCAATAAAAAAACATCGGGTTCGTAGTTGAAATTAGGTATCTTTATACAAATAGCCGGTCTAATTTATTATTTATTTTTTTAGCCAATATATATAAATTGTACAATAATTATATATAATTATACACATATTTTATACTCCCTCCGTTTCAATTTATGTGAATCCATTTGACTGGGCACGGAGTTTAAAAAAATAGAGAAGACTTTTGAACTTGTGGTGTAAAATGAGGCACATATATTTTGTGTGGCTATAAATCATTGCATAAAGGTAAATTGTTTCCAAATAAGGAAAGAGGTCATTCTTTTGCACGGACTAAAAAGATAATAGGTTCACATAAATTGAAAAGGAAGGAGTATGTATTATGCATATTTGTCGGCTATCTTAAGTTATAGCTTCTGTAGGGAGTTATTTAAGTGAATTCTTCTTGAAAGTACAATAAAAGGTCAAGTTTCCCTCTTAACAAAGTTAGCCAAGAGACTAACCCCCGTCCCCCGTAAGCTAAAAACCACCAAAGATGCCAAATTGTCAAAAAATTCAACTTCAAACGGCTTGAATCTAGTCAAATACGACCCAATAACGTCAAACAAAGCCATAGGAATCAATTCCAAATAATAAAGTTCGAATCTTTAATCAAATACATAAAGTCAAGCAAAAGTTCAACCTGGACTCACTTCTCGGAACCCGACAAAACTCACAAATCCCAATTACCCATTTTAATACGAGTTTATATATAGAAGTTTCATCCAAAATCGGCTCCAAATCAGGGTTCAAATCTCAATTATTCACTTTCCAAAATTATAGTCAAAAGCCCCCAAATTTCTCTTTATAATCCAAGCTTTTAGGTGTAGAAATCCATGAAAAATATGATACAAAGTCAAATCCAAGTGTAAATTGCTTCCTTCCAATGATGTAGTGAATTTGCTCTTCAAAATCTCTCACTCTCGAAATCTAGGGCTCAAAATATGATAAAGTGGGTAAAAGTCCTGAAATCTCAACTTCAATATTCTACCCAATGATGTTCATCTCAATCGCGACATAGCTTCCGCGATCACGAAGGCTAAAAATCTGCCCAGCTATAAACTCCACTTCGCGAACGTGAAGACATCCTTGCTAACACGGTCCCTCACCAGCGAACACGAAGGCAATCCTCCTACCTGACTACAAGCTTCCGTGAACGCGCAGTAACAGACCTTAGTCCTCTGCGAACGTAGCCCCACTCCCGCGAACACGAAAGGTAATCTTCGTCTGCTAACTCTGCTACTCCGCGATCGAGAGCCTCTCTCCGCGATCACAATGAATCCACCTGCACCAGAAAACCAACAGTCCAAAAATAAGGGAAAATAGTCTAAAACCACCCTGAATCACATCCGAGCCCCCAGGACTCCGCCCAATTATGCTAAAAGGTCTCAATACCTTATTCAAACTTTTCCAAGAGCTCGAAACATCATGAGTAACATCGAAACCAAGAACCGACGATTAAAATCACTCTCTTAAAATCAACAACGTCTACCTTGCAACTAAGCGTCTGATTCAAGCCTAACCAATCATGATTCCAACCAAACTTTGCACATAAATCCCAAATGATATAACAAACCTATACCAAGTTCCGGAACAATAATCCAACTTTCGATATCATCAAAGTCGACCCCTGGTCAAACCTATGAACTCTCCAATCTTACAAACTGCAAACTTTCGGCGAATAGAGCCAAAACATCTCAGGAGCTTCCAAATTCAATTCCAAATATACATTTATGTCCAAAATTACCATACAAACCTATTGGAACCATCATTGGAAGAGCAAGTATTTGAATTCACTCCAAAACCTTCCTGGAACCAAACCAGTCATCCCCGCAAGTCAAAAAACCACAAACACACATACGGTTAACATCAAATAGAGGAACAGAGCTCAAATACACAAAACAACTAGCCATGTCATTATATATATGTACTAGTTAGTATGTCCGGACGGGGTCTGGATGGGCTCGGGTGTAGTTTCAAGGTGATTTTGGATCATTTTGAGCCATTTTGTGATTGCTGATTTTTTGGTGCATAGCATTGAAGCGCTATCGCTGAAGGTAGTCACGCGATCGCAAAGAAGGATATGGAGGCAATATGTGTTTTGTATTATGCAATCACAGAAGAGGTGTCGCAATCATGGAGTAGAGCTGAGTGGTGAATCGCGGTCATGTAGAGAGTGATACGATCGCTAATAGGAACCCAATGGTGTGTTGTGCATCGTGATCGCGTGCATAGGTGTGACAACACGATAGGTTATTTTGAGTACTAGCCTTAATTTCTATATTCTGAGACCTCTCATAGTTTTATTTGATGTTGTATGACCTTCGTGCATGGTCCGTGTTATTTTTTGGAAAGCTTTTATGTGAAATTTTGAAGACAACGTGATTTTTGACTTAAAATGAGGGTAGAGTTGACCACGTTTAACGTTTTTGGTAAACGATCTCGGATAGGTATTTTGACGATTTCGGTAGGTTCTTATGATATTTTTGGACTGTACGCGTGTTCGGTTAGAGTCCTGAGTGACCCGAGGGCGTTTCGACGCATTATGTGAAAGATTGGAAAATTTTGGTTTAAAACTTGAAATTTTGAGTTTTGATGATTGATTATGATATTTGATGTTGTTTTGATAATTTGAGTGAGCGAGCGAGTTTATATGATATTATTACACTTATGTGAATGTTTGGATTGGAGCCCAAGGGGCTCGGGTGAGTTTCGAATATGTTATGGTTGAGTTTGGAACTGCTGATGCACATCAGCTGGTGTGTTCAAGTTGCAGGTCTCGCATTTGCGAAGACATGATCGCAATTGCGAGCCTGACATTTGCGATGTCAGGCTTGCAAATGCAAATTTGGGGCTGGGACTGAAGACTTCACAAATGTGAAGAAATAGTCACATTTGCTACATATGTGGGTCTGTTGCATTGGTCGCTTTTGTGATCAATATTTCGCAATTGTGACGTTTGTAGCTGGGAAAAAGTTGGGGGAAACGAGACTTTGCTCATTTTACACTCTTTTTCAATCCTAAACTCTCTAGAGATGATTTTCGAAAAACATTTTCTTCCCATATTCATTGGTAAGCAACTTTAACTAGTTTTCGATCAATTCCCATTACTTGCCCATGAATTTTAGGATCAAATCTATGAATTTCAAGGTAGAATCTAGGGGTTTTGGGCTGAATTTTGAGATTTTGTAAAATTGAGATTTAGACCTCAAATTGAAGTCGGATTTTAAAACAAATCACATAATCGGTCTCAGGGGTGAATAAGTAATTGAGATTTGGTCCGAATCTCATATTTCGACCAAGCGAGCCCGGGGTTGACTCTTATTGACTTTTTCAAACGTGATAAAATTGAACCCTTTTTCACTCGTGGGTAGTTTCTAAAGCTTATTTTGAATTGTTTGAATAATAATTGGCTAGATTCTGTTGGTTTGGAGGCTTGTTCGTAAGGAAAATTCGTGGTTGATTGTGATTTTATTGCGGAAAGAGGAAAGTGTTATGGTTAACTTTTATTTGAGGGAACTAAGATAGAATAGAGTCTATTTGCTATGTGAACTATGTGTTAGGGGCGACGTATATGCGAGACGACTAGTGCATATGCGTTGGTCATTGGATAAGCATGCGGGTAGAATTTGCCTTAATTATATCATATTATTTCATTTACTATGTCTTACATGCCTTAGATAGTTACTTATTCTTTGACTAGTTGCTTTCGAGTAATTTCTTATATTAAATTATTGTGATTTTAGGTGAGATACTCGCGACGCAGCATAGGCTCTTGGTGATGGATGTTGGTATTATGTTAAAGAGGAGGAAAAGGTCTACTCGAGGAAGACCGAGAATCAGGTGGGGAGCCTTAACTAAGGATAAACCCAAGAGTTGGAGGGGGCAGTTATTGGCTATGGGAGCTTAGAGGAGCAGTGGTGACGCGAGCACTATGTGATCAGTGATAACAGACTGTATTAGAGAGGCTGCGAGAGAGGTGTTAGGAGTCTCGACGGGCGTCTCTGGTGGGCACAAAGGAGACTGGTGGTGGAATGAAGTGGTCCAAGGTAAAATAGAAGCGAAGAAGGCAGCGTACCTGAAGTTAGTAGGGAGCATAGATGAGGAGGAGAGGCGAGCGTGCACGGAGAGGTATAAGACAACTAGGAAGGAGGCTAAACTGGCAGTCACGGAGGCTAAGACTGCGTCTTATGGTCGTATGTACAAGGAACTAGGTAAAAAAGGTGGGAAGAAGAAGTTATTTCGGCTGGCCAAGGTGAGAGAGAGGAAGGCTCGGGATTTGGACCAAGTGAGATGCATCAAGGATGAAAATGGTAGAGTATTGATGGAAGATGCCCAGATTAAGAGGAGATGATAGACTTACTTTCATAAACTTCTGAATGAAGAAGGGGATCGAGATATTGTGCTAGGTGAATTGGAGCATTCCGAGAGTCACTGTGACTTTGGGTACTACATGGATATCGAGGTTGATGAGGTCGTGGGAGCTATGCGTAAGATGAGTAGGGGAAGAGCGACCGGGCCAGACGAGATTCCGATGGAATTTTGGAAGTATGTGGGGAGAGCAGGTTTGGAGTGGTTGACTAGGTTGTTTAATGTTATTTTTAAGGCGAAGAGGATGTCGGATGAGTTGAGGTGGAGTATGGTGGTCCCATTGTATAAGAACAAAGGTGATATCCAGAGTTATAACAATTATAGGGGTATCAAATTATTGAGTCATACCATGAAAGTGTGGGAGAGGGTGGTTAAAGCGAGGGTGAGGATGACAGTGTCTGTATCCGACAACCAGTTCGGGTTCATGCCGGGTCGTTAGACTACAGAAGCTATACACCTTGTTAGGAGGTTGGT